GCCCTCAGGCCGCATTTTGCCCACTTCTGTGCTAGAGGGTCTGCAGAGCCTCGCCAACTGCTCTACAATAGAAATTATAGAAACTGTCACTTAGTTCTTTTCATTCATGCCTGTCTTTACTGAGCCTTATCAACACTACAGTCACCATATAGATATCCAACAAAATGTGCACCCAGAGCATCCCCAGCACCCTCTGATTTTGGCAAACCACTTCAGAATGTATAAAGAGGTGACAGCAATTGATTAAGAAGAGAAGTGATTGCAAAGGATAAAGATGACAGACAATACTGAAGAAACTTTAAGACAATGGGGCCAAATTTTGGTCACAATGTTTTAAGGGGAGGAAGGGGGACTTTAGATTCACCGTCTTCCCGAAGAATCAGCTACTTCTGAAAAATAAAAAAAAATAAATAATGGTCCGTCCTTTGTGCTGGTGCTAGCCACTCTGAGTCACCTGCCTGATGTAAAGCAGCCAGAACATGGCCACATTCACCTATTTGAGAAGTCTGGTGAAGCTGGGTGAAGGGAACACTTCTTTGGTATAAAGTGGTCAGTGCTGACTTCTACAGATATGCCTTCTGACCCTGGCACTGCTTTGCCAATTGGCAGCCTACAGCCTCTAAGAGCCATACATTGATTGTTACATAATAATCCATCCTGAGCCCAATGTACCTGCTTTAAGAACCAAGGAACAATGGTCACAAACTGACAGAGAGCAGATTTAGGCTAGATATCAGGAAAAACTTCTTCACAGTAAGAGTGGCCAAAATTTGGAATGGGCTTCCAAGGGAGGTGCTGCTCTCCCCTGCCTTGGGGGTCTTTAAGAGAAGGCTGGATAGGCATCTGGCTGGGGTCATGTGACCCCAGCACTCTTTCCTGCCTAGTTAGGGGTCGGATTCGATGATCTGTTGAGGTCCCTTCTGACCCTAGTATCTATGAATCTATGAACCAGGAATTGATGACTCTCGGGTTGGTATCATTACACATCATTTCAAATGTAGAGCAAAAAACTGCTTATAATGTTCTGAGATTACTGGAAGGAATTAATAATATAAATACTAATTATTAATATGCTCACCCAGTCTAAAAGAACCTACTATATTGGCTTGACTACACACCCACACACATATAGAAAATATATATTATATTATACTACTTTAAGGGGCACAACATCGGTAAATAAATGTTCAGGGGAAAACAAGTAAAATGGAAAAGCTATAGCTAAAAACTTGGTTATTAAAATTATTAAATTGTATTGCAGTAATATGCATGAATCCCATTCTTTTCCTGTGTACATGCACGCACATACTCCAGAGCAGATGCAGAAGTCACAAGTCATTACTGTGATTCGTGCTTCAGTTCAGAGAGAATGAGGATGTGCCGAAGACATCAGTGTGACTAATAGGGCCAAGAAATTCCTAAGAGAATAGGAATGATTGTTAACAGTTCTGAGAAAATCTTCCTCTGTGTTATTATCCCATAGAAAGAGATAGTGGGTCTTAACAGTCTTAACCAAACAAATAGCTCTGAGAAACTAGAAATATTCCCTTTGAGACTTGAGTAAAAGAAAATTAAAAAAAAGAAGCTTAAAGCAGTGACATATTGTCGGTGAGACACTTAGACCTGTCCCTACTTAGTGCATCAGATCAGAATTTCCATAATCCCATAGGGGATGCTGTATAATCAACTGAATAAAGGACACAAAGTCCCAGTTAACCTACTGCCTTCTTTGAACAGCTGGTTTGATTCCTTACTAAAGAGCAGGAATAATTTACTATGGGACATATGCTCATGGGACATCTGTCACAACTATCTGAAAACAATATGCTGGCAGTTCAAATGATGCCTGAAGTCAAACATCTTGGGGAAAAAATGAATAATAAAAGTAGTTTGAAAACTGCATTTCCTTCTAGCCTGCACAAGGTGCTAGATGGCTGGGAAAGGTGAAGAACGGAACCAACTCCTAGACTTCTGACAGTTCGCATTAGTTGGAAAAATGCTCCTTGTCTGATTGTTATAAACAGACTTCAGGTTTTAAAGTTCCAGCTTCTTTTCTCAAGTGCCTCCTTCCTGTGACCCATGTAATAGGTTTAATGGCACTATATAGATGCAGAACAAACCGATGCAACTCCTCCTTCAAAAGCCTTCAGATGCTTCAAGCAGCAGTATGAAATCCTTAAAATGGCTGCTGTTTCCTCAGTGGCTACTTGTGCACTGTAAGCAATGTCTGACTAAACCAATGAATAGACCAGAAGGAGAGAGAAAGAATGGCTTTGTGACTAAACAAGTAGACATGGCTCCATTGACAGCTCTGCAACAAGTCTCCCACATGAATGACTGGTGCCTCCCGAGTCTGGGGGGTGGGCACAATTTGTGGGCGGCAGCGTCGGCAGTGGGGTGGTGACCGGCGACTGCCCACAGAAGCCAGCATCGTCATCGGCGTTGGGGGTTGCAAGCAGTGACCACCCACAGAAGCTGGTGTTGGCTAGTGGCAACTGCCCACAGAAGCCAGTGGTGGTGGCGGGGGCTGGGGAGGGGTGGTGAGAGGTAACCACCTGCAGAAGCCAGTGGTGGTGTCAGAGATGGGGTTGCGAGTGGTGTGCAGTGAATGCCTACAGAAGCTGGGGTTGGCATGTGGCAACCACCTACACAAACCGGTGGCAGTGGTGAGTGGCGACTGCGGGCAGAAGCTGCCGTTGGTAGCCAATCTCGGGGGGGCATCTGCCCCCCCCGTGCTGTCCCTATGTGTTACCTATGGTTTCCCATGTAAGCTAGATCACTAATTTTCTGTTCTTCCATCTTCCATATAAAAAATGGGGATAAAAGTATTTCTTCTCTCACATTGCTTGGTAGCTCACTTTGTAAGTTCTTGTAGCAGGGGTTTATATTTTTGGGCGGTGCCTGACAATAGAGGATAATCACAATTGGAGGTTTATTTTCATCATGCTACTGGTACTCTGTAGACTACAGGCACACAAAGGACACCATGTGTGTGCATTGAGCACTCTGTTCTTTATATTTATAATGCCTCTGGGCTGTTTGGTTCCTTTCACCATACAAAATGGAAGGTAGCAACACGTGGCAAACTAGGAGTTAAAAACAGGAGGAGGAGCACATTTTACTACATTCTTCTTTCTTCATATGCTTGGATCATTTGAGCTCTGGGATGGATGTACCAGGTAAGGTCTGGCAGGGGAAACATTGGGTAGCAGCTGCACTCTGCAACTTTCCCCCTAGCAACTGGGCAGATTTTGTCACAAAAAATCTGGCAAGAGGTGACCTCTGTTCAGACTAGTGATAAGTTAACTCCCTGCTGTGCACTTGACATTTGACAATTTCTTCTCCAGCCCTGCAAGGGCTTCATTGCATATAGTGGTAAAATAAGTTATTCCAAACTCGTTCAAATCTGTACACTCAGGAGATGCTGTTAACTACCATTACCACATACAAACCTAAAAGAAAGAAAAGGAAACATGGTGCTTGTATTTGGCAACAATAGTTTTATTTTGGTGCTATTTAGTTGAAAGGTAGTATTTTTAAACTCCTAATATGTGTATTCTCCCCTGATGCATTAATTGGCATATTGAAACAACACTACATGTGAAATGAAACAAGACAAAACCAAACATCAGTTCATACATAAGCAGCTCAACACAATGGAACCTACTACTACAAGACCCATTTAGGTTCTGATTAGTCAGGGATGTAATTAATAACTTGTTATTTTTTCTTGTTTTTTATTTAAGACCCAAGTCCATGTGCCCTGAGCTGGCAAAATTCCCCATGGGAATTCTGGATGGATAAGAAATGCATCTTTCACCTCGCAATAGATTAGATCAGAAATCTAAAGACCATATGAAAACCAATATATCAAACGGAACATATATAAATTTCTTCACGTAACTGTTTTTTGAAGTTTGATCTAATGAATGCTTTAAATGAATTGGGATTTTTTCTGCAGTAAAACCACACTAGTTTATATCTAGTAAGAGACTAGCCCTCTCTATTAACATCTACCAGGTGGTCAATCTGGCACCTTTTGCAGCTATTTAAGACAGCATTTGATTGAGAAATCACATCCAATATAAAGTTTCAATTAAACATTCTAGGTTTCAAAATGTCTGATTTTTAAAAAAGAAAAATTGCTTAGATTTATACATACATTTCTTTTTTGGGTAGAATAATCTGAGGAAGATTCCATTTCAGTGGAAGAAAATGCCAAGACCTTTAAAATGGCTTCAAATTAAATTTACAAGTACAATTTTATCTGACAAACTATTTTATAATCAGGTTAATAAAGTATCCACAATATAAGGGATGTTAATTAACCAGAATACATATAGAAACCTACTTCCTATTTCATCAGATGCTACTTCTATTTTTTCAGAAGCAAGCAGTAGCCTGGAAAAACTCACAATTCTCTGACTGAGTTAGCCTATAAGGTGCCACATTGCCCTGCTTTTTCTGCCTGACTTCAGACTAACACAGCTACCTCCCTCTAGAAGACATATAGTCACTGATAAGAATATGTTATATTTTCAAAGACACTGCATCATGTACTTGCTTGTGTGAACAGTCTCAGGAAATAGTCATGTGAATAAGAGCTGCAGAATCAGACTCTTATTTTTAGACAAACTCAGTCTCTTCACCCACTAGTGCCTAAGAGATTGATTTTGCTATTTAAATGCAGACTAAGTGGCACCTCATACTGGGCAAGTCTACACGAGATGTTTACTACAGAGCTGATTAATTAGCTCCACAGTAAACATCTCCACGTCTACACATGCGACACTATTATGCCAGAGTAAAATAATTTACACTAATTAGTACACTAATTTATTTGTATAGACATATACAAATACTATCCTGTGGCAGAATACTTTACTCTGCTGCAATGCATGTGTAGATGCCAGCCGGGGCTGCTCCAACCCAGCTCAACATGCTGTGGTCCTGGGCAAACGTGCAATAAACTCCTGTGTGATATGCACCAGAGTTGATTGCTTCACGCTAATTGCACATGTAGATGCGCCCTCTGTGACCAAGTCTACTGATTTAAATAGGACAGCTCACTGAGAATGGAAATGGGTGAAATGCAGTTCTGTGGAGCAGAAGACTCCAGTCCTCTGAACCACTTAAACCCTTCTAAAACATTCAGTAAGCTTCAGTGGTACCTAAATATTTTGCACAGGGATGTATTTTACTCTAACCATGTAAAAGAAGCAGAACGAAGCCTTGAACTGCTTACAAGGACAATCTCTGTAAGTGCTAACGGAAAATCCATACACCTATGCCCCAGCAGAAACCCCCCACAAAGATTGGGTACAAACTGTCAGTCACCCCTGCCCAAGCCATCACGTGAAACTGCAATCACACTGGAAATGTGAGAATAGATGTGCTTTAAACTCCTATGAGCATATGCTGGTGTCTATTTCTAGGCAAATTGCTGGTGTACTTTTGAAAGCTGGTTTGCAAAATTTGGCCCCACAAGCCTTAAAGAAAAATATATAGATCCTAACAATCTTACAGAATAGCTTATTGGTATTGGCAGCATTCCTCAGTTACTAATTCTCTCTCTCACACCTACATATTCTGAGTCCGTGGAAGGCTTTGAAGTTACATAAATTACTCAAAGAGTCTAAAGGCCAGGCATCTCTCTAGTGCAGTTCGATTCTAAAGTCAGAAAATTCTCGTGTATAATTTGCAAAGCTATTGATTTCACATTTTTGAATCAGCAGCTTTCTTCAGAGCATAGTCTTCGTTTCTTCAGTTTTACCTTCTGCACTTTAAAAAAATGTCCTGGAATAAAAGAAAGAAACAATTAGAACACATATTTTGGAGTTTACAAGAAGCAGCATCTGGCATAAGTAAATCCTAAGTAGTTCATTTGGGTTTTTATTGTAAGGACTGACAGCAAAACCACACAAACCTCATGCAAACCTACACAAGAAGCCCTACCTTATCCTCTAGGGAGGACTATAGTTATATTTAGACAACCCATGAATAAAAATTTCTACTGTAAATTGGATTTGTGAAACAAGTTAATCTTGGGACAATCACTGGATATAAATTGCAACAGAGTGATATAAACAAGCCCTCAATACAAAGACAGAAACATGAATGGTTGCTGATAGGCACACCAAGATACAGTATGGAGAGAAACTCTTGTTCTTTGGACAAGCCTCATGGGAATAGTAATTTGCAGTTGTTTAGATAATTAAATCAGGAATGGTGCTGAGAGATGATTCATTCATTTTCCCAACTGCCTGTACCACAGCTGGCTCTCCCAATGGGTGCATGGGTAAAAATCCAATGCCACAAGCTGCTGAATGTTTCTATGGAAGTGGTTATAAACTTTTCTAGACCAGAGGTGCCTGACCTTTTTTACCCCATGGGCCAGATAGGTGGTGCCTTGTCCATCCAGCCCTCTATCTGGCTGTACAGGGAGAATGGGGGCATGACCTGGCCCCAGTCTGGCCACATGAGAGGAGGTGGAGGGCTTGGCCTGGCCCTGATTTCACTGTGCACATGGGAGGGAGCATGGCCCAGCCCTGATCTGGCCATGTCGGGGAGAGAGAGTGTAGCTTAGCTCCAATCTGGTCACGTGGGGTTTGTGAATTTGGCAGCAGGGGAAGGGTGGCAGCATTAATTGCCACTGTTTTGGGGCTGCCAAAAGAAATTTCCTGACCTGTGGGGACTCTCATGGTCCAGTTCCATGGGCTGGGGGTTAGGCACCTTTGTTTTAGACTCAAGGCGCTTGTTAGACTCAAGGCACACCTAATTATACTCCTCAGAAATGCCAAATCTTAGTTTTCACTGGTTTTTTGACTACAGAAAAAATACTATAGCAATTCTTCAGTTGCAAACAATTCATAATGATCACAACAGGTCAGAACATTTTTGACACTACAGGTTCCTATTTGAAACCTCTGGGGTTCTCTTGTGAACCGTGTGCACACCAAGCACTGCTAACATTGTGCAGCACACTGTAGCAACCTGGTTAGGAATTACTCACTGATCTAGGGAGGTTTCTGGACACGACAGCACCCAACATGTGACAGCATACAATTCCTGTGCATATGGTATGTATTTTATTGCGGGAAGTAGGGTAACTAATCCAGAACCAGGGAAGGGACAGAAAAAGAAAAGCCACAGAGGCACCATGAATCACAGATGGCATTTTCCTTTTACAGTGAAATGGGAAATGCAGTGACATATCGACACACTGACACCAGCAAATAATAGCCTCATTTTACTAGGCTGGAACCCTAGAGGGCCTGGTGGTGCAACCGGCTTTTAACCAGAGAGACCAAGATATCCGGTAGAAAAATAGGTTCTGCCAGCATTAAGTATGATGTCTGCCTGCTGCACAGCTTTTTGCCAGAGGCAACATATTTGCTGTAGGTAATACACACAAAAGACTTCTCTCTGTTTATATATGAGAGAAGGTGCATGATGGAAAGAACCCCTCAAATCCAACTGCCTGCTTCTTGTAGGTGAATCAGCTTTTAACATGTTTGCTAGGACTCAGTATTAGATAGTAGGTATGTGTCTGTCTAGCTCATTACTCACAGAGAAGTACAACAGGTAATGTCAAGCTCAGACAGTAGTGTAATGATGGGTGGGCAAGTGGGGAGGAAGTTCTGCATGCTGCCTAAGAGGAGGGGGTTGAAATGGGGCCAGGGGGTGCCTCACCCTCTTGTCCCCTACCTCTACACCTGTCCCCACCCCCTGGACCTTCACCACAGCAGCTCTGGCTCCAGCAGCAAGAAGGGCACGGAAGTGGCACCAATGCATGGTGCAGGAATTGTGGCTGGAGGTTCACTGCTACTGCTGAGGGGACTGGACCTTCTTTTTTTGCCTCCAAAGCCTAGTGCTATTCTGGCCACTCAAAACACATCAGCAAGAAAAAAAAGGAGGTGACATTTCTCCTAGCGGTAGTAACCTTCTGGCCACTTTTTTTGTGTTGCCACTGCTCTGCTCTCCCCACCCCCAAAGCCAGAGTTGCTGCAGGGATGGTTCTGGGTGCGCAGGGTGCACTACTGCCCAGTTCTGCTTCTGAGCTCATAGTCTGGTATAGGCACTACAACTGCATAGAGCTGGGCTGTTTATTAAGGCACAGTAAGAACATAGCTAGCCCCTTCCACCTCAAATATCTCTCCATCTCCCTTGAGGTTCAGTCACCAACTTCCTGCACTCTCCAGTTTCCCTAGTGATCTTCTGCTAAATCCAAACACTCCAGCCCAGCAGGGCAATCAACAGGTTCTTCATCCTCCCCTGAACAGCATGGGCTGCTGTGCCTCCCTCCCCAGGAGGCAGCTTCCATGCCCACCTTTTACCACGTGTTCCTGGCTCTAGGACAGTGGTTCTTCATCCTTTAATATCCAAGGCACCCCCTGTCAGGCTTAAGGCACCTCTCCATAGCTTTTGTGAATCGAGCCATACCCCATTAAAAAAACCACAAATGTACTTATTACAGGAATCACCTCCTTGCAGAAGGTACCAGCAGAACAGGTGGGAAAGCAGCCATGTAAGAAGAGCCTGCCCCTATCTGCTCATCTCTTTACACCTGAAGCCTGAGTCTGCCTTTATTTGCTTATCTCCTCATACCTCACTTATCCCTTCAAACTTCATGCAGCACCCTTCAAAGGATCCCACGGCACCCCAGCTGAGAATCACTGCTCTCGAAACTCTAAAATCCCAGGGTCCATTTGTCCTCCATAGCATAGCTTCAACCTAGCCTGCTTCTAACCAAGGCATCTTCTCCTCCTGGCTGGCCTCCTGCTGTTGGTGGTGAGCTGACTCCAAGGCCTGCCTTTCCATGAGGCTTCTACATAGTTTCCCCTCTGGCCTACAGACAGCTCTCATTTTCCTGGCAGGTCTACTTTCCATCACCTTTATCGCTCCTTGTTTAACAAGAGAGGCATTGCAGCTACAGTTGAGCCATAACCCTCTAAGAAGGGCCAGCTCAGCCCAAATAATGAGGCAGTGGTTAAACTTCAGCAGGGGCACTGGCAGGGAGGTGGGGGAGTACCATGCCTTAGGGACACCTATTGAGGCATCTTCCCCCAATGAGCCCCTGTTGCGCTGGTGGGGAGGGCATAAGTTGCTACTGCCCCTAGAAAGTTGCTGAATGTACTTGCCTATGCACTCACCCAGTCCTGATAGATTAGATGAAGAAAGCCATGAACTCCTGTTAGCTGAAAAGCAGCATTAAGAATAATAGAGAAGCAAGCAATTCATCAAAGAAATGTTCTGAATGAGTGTTTTATTTTTGGACACCAGACAGGAGATATGAGAAAGTGATTGTACTGTCATGTGGTTTTAGAGGTAATATATTGTCTCTTCAAACAATGAGCCAAAGATAACAAAGACAGATGTAAAGGCCAATACATGAACAGCTGTGAGAAGACAGAAGCTGAAAGCCCTTGGCATTCTTCTAAATAATCCAGAAATGCTTTTCCCTTCAGTTTTCTTCACACAAAGTTATTTCACTCTACACTTATTTTGGGAAATGCTTAACAACCCCTAATAGGGAGTGGACAGGAGCCTAGGATAGCAATTCAGAGAATATGGCACTTCCCCATGCAGATTATTTTGTATCAGTGGTGCCCAACCTTTTTGCCCTGTGGGCTGGATGGGCAGTGCCAGGTCTGTCTGAAAGCCAGATCTGGCTGGTGGACTCCATCTGGTAAGTGGGGCTGGTGTGTCAGGGGCCTGACTATGTTGTGGACGGGTGCGCAGCTTGACCGTGATCCATCCACTTGTGGCAGTGGGGGGTAGGAAGCAGCTTGGCTCTGATCTGGGTGTGGGAGGGTCGTGGTTATGGGGGGGACAAGGGATGGGAGCAGAGCAGTCACAATCCATCGGGGGGGCAGGTGGGAGGGGGCGGGTAGCCTGGCTTTGATCCAGATGTGGGGCGGGGCACCCCGATCAGGACATGCAGGGGTGGGGGATGTGGAGCATTTTAGCCCCAATCCAGACATGTGTGGCAGCAGGGTGGAGAACAGGGAGCAGTCTGGCCCTATCTAGAACTGCACAGGGTGGGCCCAGGCCTGATTCCACTGCACAGCCATGGCCCAGGTGGGACTGGGTCTAGCCACATGTAGTTTCCACTGCTCCCCTCTGCCATATTTTGACCCATGGAGATCCTTGCAGTTCAAATGCCAGGGCTCTGTGGGTCAGATTTGCATTTCAGGCTGAAGGTTAAGCACCCGTTTTAAATCGTCTACTCTATATATACATAACTTATTATTCTGCCCCTTCCCCAAAGATGCCCCAAACACCTTTCAGAAATCAACAATCCTGGAATTACTCTTCCTAGTTTACAAATACATTACATCACTGCTACTAACTGGAGAAGAATTCTATCAGTCTTCCATATCCTCTATCCCATACTTTATAGAAGCTCCTTGTTGCATTTTGTCTATGAAAATGTAAACTATTTCGGGCAGAAGCTGCATTGATCTATGCATTTATAGTGCCTAGTACACAGAGGCCCATTTTTTGTTGAAGACTAGATGCTGGCACTATAAGTATGTCAAAAATAACCTTTTAAGCTTTAAAATAAATTTAACCTTTAATTAAATAAAAATTACCATTTTCCTCTTCAGTTTGATCTTCCTTTTTCTTTAGGTTTGAATTATACCCATCTCATTTGATACTTTACACAAGAACTTTCTTGGAAAACTTCCATTTAGAGGTGCACCGATACATTGGTCTGATATCAGATTGGTACCAATATAAAAAAAAATTGTCCATATTGGATATCAGCCCGATGGGGCCGATAATTTGGCCAATAAATGCCTGTTCTGCGTTACAGCTGCAAGCCAACATGGAGCAGAGTTGGAAGGGGAGGAGGGAGGGAAGATGCATGGAGGGGCAGATCAATGCCCCTGTGGTGAGGGAGGGGGCAGGGCAGGGGCAGGCACTGCCCAGCTGGAGGGGTGG